AATAAATTCATATTTTAAAAACAAAACAGCCCCAAATGGCCTCCAGGATTAAATATAATATGCATACGTTTCCAAAGACAGGGAGGTCATCCACCTTTCGAAGGTCTTGCAAGCTAGACGCACTACATAGGCTTTGAATAAAATGACTCGTATCCCCTTGAAGCTGTATTGGTTTCAAGACGTAGAAAGACAGACCCTCTTATAAAAACGGACATGTATTTTACAGAAAATGAGCAGATGTTTCGTAATTTTCATAAACCATACGAGTTGTTGCCATTGTCCTCCCACTCAACAGTTCACCCGCGGACATCCTCTATACATATATAGCTTGCACAGTATACACTGTGGTCTGTGTATTACCAACTAATACCAATCTACAAAAATATTTTGATAGAATCGCCGCATGACCAGCTACGTCACTGCAGTGTGTGGAGTATTTGTCGGCCCTGTCTTCACAATATGTTCACAATGTGGTCAACACTCTCTCCAGGATAGCAACTGATGGTATTGAATAACACTTCGATATGTCAGTTATGACGGTGCATATTCGCAAAAGATGAAGTTATAGTATGGCTATTCGAATAATGCTCAGACCCTAGTCTTGTATACCACCAAATCGGCCGTGAAAACAGCAGTAAGATTAAAACTAAAGATATACTCTGTATAAACAAACGTCGTATCTATAAGTGCACCGTTAACAGTATATTAATATTCATAATTGTAAAATCTGTCTATGAATGATATTACTTAAAAGTATAAAACTATGCGGGTCAATTAATATATTGATATCATCTTCCTCTTGACAATGTTCAATAAACTATCATATGAAAGGTTTTCTGAAATACATATATCGACTGTTCTGTATGATTGATTTGATCAAAAGAAGTGTAAACTTCATTAACAAACATATCAACATGGTGCACATCTAACCAGTATTGACAGAGATTCGGTCGTGAAGTGATAATAGTGGATACCGGTCTGTTTCTATAGCTATCAGTTTCTAGATATAATATATTGATTTGGTTCATTACTCCCACCCCAAACACCGTTAACGATCCCGTGTCAATACAGCAAAGGTTCTTCAGCAAAGAGACGGAGACTCAGGGTGACAGTTTGCTTCTACGAATACACATTGCTTTATATATGTACATCGATAGTTATTTTCGTATTCTTTAGTAGACAATATTAAAACATTAAAGTAGGTATAGGTATAGGTAGCATAAGTATGATATGTTGGTGCTATAAAATGGGCTCTAAGATCGTCATATGTGTTGCACATCAAAATATAATGATATTCGTCTTCTATATAGATCTCTTTACATACAACACAAATTCAATCTTTTCTCTTTTCTATCTTTTCTTTGGCAATTCTGAGGCGATGGGATCTGCATCTAAACTGTGCGTCTAAACATATAACATTCTAGAGCTAAGATATAATATTCTGTTTTGAAGATTAATTTATACAAGTAATAAATATATGATTATGTGTTATCAGTTAACGCACGAGTCATATAATTAATTCTCTAATCGCTCTAAACCATAAAATAAATTCTTCTTTCGAAACTAATCGCAGAGTTAAGTCTCGTTGTTCAATGCCCCATTCCCTATATTAACAGGCCAGTGTCTAAAACAACACCGAATGAGCGGGTTGTGTTTAACGTCAATTTGGACGGTATTTAGTTGTATCATGACGCGTCAGCGTGATGGGGCTAGGCGTTAACTAGTGGAACCCCCGAAATAACTTATGAGATACTGTGGGCACCCAATATGACCCAAATAAGCCATAATTGATAGAATTCAAACAAAAACACATACCTTTATCATATACTTTGTGCTAGTGACAGCAGGATGTGATGTACTCTTAGTTATAGCCAGTAAATGGACGTGTCTGGCTTCGCATTCCGGGAGTGTGTAGGAACACAAGATGGCTACAGACTGACAACAGGATAATACTCTGATCAATGTTAATTATCTTCATCGAAGAATAAATATCACCAATCAACTAGCCCTTGTAGTGATTGCATAACAAGACTGAACGTCGATAGTACATGTAGCAGATATCTGCATTTGAAATACGTTCCCACCTGCACTTTGTTTTCGTGTAGCGTACCAACGTGATACAATAGATGAATAAATAATATATGTATATGATTCAGTGGTCACAATGTCCTGTCCGTCCATTGTATATGGTATGGAATGTGACAATCAGGGTCATACTTATCAGTTCATGTTATTCAACAATGCATTAGTTGAAATGAGTTCATAATCGAAAAGCACTTACGAAAGTAAAGTACGATTAACGACAGTTATGTAACTGTAATTTACTTTCGTAAGTGCTTTTCGATTATATATATATTGTAATACTTCATCGTTGCCGGCTAATGACAGCTCGGTAGTTTAATACAGTTATTCATAGAAACACTGCAAACTTAAGGTTCAAAGCAACACTATGATACAGGTATCAAAACTTCATTATCGAATAACCATTTCCTGTTTGTTTCATTTGTAATCAACTTTAAACATGGGTGTATGCTTTCATTGTTTCATTTGTAATCACCATCAAACATGGGTGAAAGCTTTCATTGTTTCATTTGTAATCACCATCAAACATGGGTGTTTGTTTTCATTGTTTCATTTGTAATCACCATCAAACATGGGTGTTTGTTTTCATTGTTTCATTTGTAATCACCATCAAACATGGGTGTATGCTTTCATTGTTTCATTTGTAATCACCACCAAACGTGGGTGTATGCTTTCACTTGTAATCACCATCAAACATGGGCGTATGATTTCTGTTGCCCGCCAGTTTACATACGTCAATGAATAAAGTTTGGAATTTAATATAAACCATCACCATGCGTACCTTTATTGTGAGCCAATACTCTACCGGTGCAGGAGGCCGCCTCACAACTGTCATCTAAAGCGAAATCAGTCGTGGCTTTGATAGTATAGTACCCAAAGCAAACACAACGATGCTATTTGAATTATCTTCACAATATTTGTTCATGTAATGAGTAAGAGGATTTTATGGAGCTGAAACGTCTATTACAATGAGAATCTCCCATTGCAGCGTTCGAAGTGCAGATACAGTGTCATGATACTTTGATCAACAATCTCAATGGTAAAATGCTGTTATAACATATCTTATAAGATGTTTAATATCGACCTTCTCTAATCATAAGTGTTAAATTCAAACAAATCAAAACTAGCAATATGGTTTTGATGTTTTACCTGTCTTAAAAGCTCAGTGCTAATAAATAAATGAATAGTACATCAGAAATGAAGTTAAACACGTATCTACTTACTTGGGCCTCCATATTGTGTGGTCACATACCATGCATAATAACAAGCAAGAGAGGCAGACAGTGTAATTTATAGGCATACTGCTGGTGGCCTGATGGGAGGACCATGCCGTAACTAGGTGGCCGGCCACAGATGTGGACAGACAGCCTTTATGTTAACGGTCACTTCCGCCAAGCACACTTTGACTGCAATGTTTTTGCTCAATAGCAAAAGTGCAAAAGTGCAAAACAGCAGAACTGACACTGTGACGGTGCATGGAGCATAAACGAAATATGCTTTTTCCAAAAGACACTTATATCATTATGTCATCCGTATTTCTGTTCTCATGAAAATGATTGTCATAAATATGTAAACAGTTTGTGAAGTAAGAGTAGTGTTCTCGTGATATTGTTTTACACGTGACCTGTGGTATTCTAATTATAACCAACAACAGTGCTACACACTAAGTGCACCTCCGACATTAGTATAGAGGAAGCAAAATTAGGTGATGGATTTCTGATGAGCAAAAAGCTTTCGGTCGTCTAACATAATTAATATGGCTTCAACGTTATAATTCAAAAGTATTTGCACTTTTCATATTAACCGAATAAGTCATAATCTTGTCGGGGCGGTCGGGTAGCCTAGTGGTTAAAGCGTTCGCTCGTCACAGCGAAGACCCGGGTTCGATTCCCGACATGGGTACAATGTGTGAAGCCCATTTCTGGTGTCCCCCGCCGTGATATTGCTGGAATATTGCTAAAGCGGCGTAAAACCATACTCACTCACTCACTCATAACCTTGGTCTAGTTGATAGTGCATCTACCCGGAGGTCCGGGGCTCGGCCGCGTCATACCAAAATACGTACCAAAATATGTTAAAAGATGGCACTCTGCTCGACATACATGCACGTCGCTTTATAACAGCAAAAATATGGAACGCGACATTAAAAAACAATTTTACCTCACCAATTTTACCTCAACGGTACCTCACCTCAAAGTATTGATTTCTGGCCAACCAAGACAAGCGCGAAAACATCTTAACGTCACCCATTGTATCAGTAATCAATTCAAACTGACATTCTCAAGTCCCATGATAGACCCCTTCAACCACAGCTCCCTGGGGACAATGTCCAGATGTTGTTCCATGTTGTTTGGCATCATCGTCATGTACGTAAACGTTGGCACACCCAGGGGAAGGAACCATCACCAAACGGAGACAAGACAATCCCGTCATTGAACAACACGTCGCTTTTTCCGAAATAGTCACTATACTTATGTCTTTAAAAAAATTACATATTCAGCGTGTTTTTTATATTTTAATATCAGTGGATGAGTCGAGAAGAATTGCATTGATGTTCCATAATAATCTTTTTGAGACAAGTGTAACAGACCCTCAATTGTTAAAAAATGGGATTGGAACCAATGGTCTGTGACCTTAAATGCAGAAATAGATTAACATGATTGTCTGGCCCAGACTTGATTATTTACAGGCCGCCGTCATAACGCTGAGTGCGGCGTTACACGACAAACAAATAAAACTCGTTTTCAACTAACCAGATCACCTTGTCTAAGCAAAGGGTTTGAATAGTATATGTTGTTGACATCAGCGATCTGTAAAGTAAACAATTCATTACCGATCCCACCGTTCCTACATGTTGGTACCTGTTTCTATATAATGGTAATCGGTCACTATAAGATAGGATAAAACTTTAAACTCACGTATGCGGACGTCCCGAACCTGTTGTCCATCCTGTTTGGTCACCTATGGTCAGTAATTGCAGTTGCGCATATTTATATCTGTTCGATGATGATTAGGAGTGGGAGCGAAGGTAGCCAATCACAGCTGACTGGGTCTTTCAGTCGACACACGCCACTAAACTGCAACGGGGGGACTTTATGGTAGACGGGTGTCACAGGTCCATGGCATTCAGTGCTGATTACATTGCTTTCCTTTGTCGTGCTTACAACTGCACATGTACATGTAATCAATTCCATGAAAATTTAACTATCTGGTTGTGAAAACATTAACGACAATCACATGTAATTGCTTTCTCTCTAGACTGAAGTAGCCGTGTACAATAGGATATAAACATATTGATTTCATGCTATGGGAATACCGGGGTCCTCCCGCAAAGGCTAGAACAAATGCTCGTTACATTAACTCGAATAAGCTCCATTAAACTGTGCATTCAATGTGAAATAAATCGAGATTCCACAGACTGTGTGTTTGGGGGTTTCCTGTATGCAGACCATTTAGAATAAGGAACACCATGACATTGTATAACTATGGCAGGCTTTTGATTAGAATGACTGCATAAATAACAGCTTGACTCATGGGAATTAATTGTTAAATCGTTGATGAATGTCCTTTCATTATCCACGTCCTGCCGTGCCATGTGTGTTTCTGTGCTGTGGTGAATGCCCCGCGGGCCCTACATGGACAGTTTGTTGTTGCTCCTACTGACAAGGCCTACAAAACATAACAATGACATGTAGGCATCACTAAAATTATTGCTCGATCATAGAACTTGGTAGAAATGGCGTATCAAGTTATAGGAGAGTTTGATTATTGAAATTTTAGTGACCTGAGTCAACCGACGTTACCACATTATTATTATTATCTAAACATTATTAATAAAAAAAATACTGATGGCAGTATTCGAAACAGAACGCATAAAATGCAACCTTAGATTTAATGATAGCTGCCAAGAGACAGAGGAACACACCAACCATGTGCTATAACACACAACCATGTGCTATAACACACCAACCATGTGCTATAACACACAACTATGACAAAGCTGTCATTGAATCTTTTCTATTGAATGCATGCATAACGACAAGAAAGTTCAAAATAGCGCGTAGAACATCTAACGACACGCAACATCATCATCAAAGTTGCAATATTTATTCTTAAGTATTTATATCACTAATTGTCAAAAGGGAGGACTCCAACGCTCCAATAGTCAACTTTCCCTTTTACATTCCAGCAGCTCCATAACTTGGTATCTACATTTCACAACTTACAATCGAGCACTCTCCTTCTACGAAGATTTCACAGTGGGTCATACGACTCTTGGCCAAACGTTATTAGATCAGGGCTACAACATTCAAAGCGTCAGTAAAGCGTTATAGTGGGAATGTGGTGGACATTTCCATGTTGAAGGATAGGATATTTGAAGATATGAGGCAAAAGAATTTCCCCCCTTTTTTCTGAAATAAATATGTTTATTTTCAAAATCCTGATCGGATCCTGATCCTGGGAAATGCCACAGAAACATGATTTATGCTCCAGTTCCAATTGCCGCCTAATGCCCATTACACGATACAATCTCCCCTTCTCACGTGGCTAAGTGCGTTTTGACATTTTCTACACATCATTCCGTGTGTCTTATTGTTTGCCTATGTTGTGTTTGGTGTTATGTCTGTCACGTGCATATGATGTATGACTTACCTTGACAGTAAAGTGTTTGGTGTAAGGCATAAGGAGTTCGAATTTCGAGTTTGACAAATGATCAGTTTTGATAAATGTCACATATTAATTTATATCAAATAACATAAAATATTCATCAGTAATTACAATAAATCATTAACAAATAGATTTAATGTGTGTTGTCTGGAGTGGAAGTCATCAATGGTATATTGTGAACATTTAGTTGAATCCCAAGTTGAATATATATAAAAGCGACAAAACCCTGTGCATATTGATAGTAAAATCTCTGCTAAAAGTGAAATGGTGAGATTATCCTGCCCCACTGGTGGAACCCGTCACAAATGCATGCCAGGGCAAGTCAATTGTTCACCTGAAAAAAACACGAGAACATATGGTACAAGTGAAAATAGGGAATTGTACCGGATATAATTTTTGTCAAATTTGGAAATGTCCTTCATTGTCAACAATAGAGAAATCCCCTGTGATTACACGACGTGAAGTTTGGTTGCAGTATGAAGAGCCTTAGCAGCCACTAGGAGCAGAATTGACATCATGAGAGTCCACATTCTGCAACACATTCCTATAATTGAACAACTTGGATGAGATGGTGTCCGTACAGCAAAATGAAACTGTTGGTGGTTACTGAAAATTGAACGTTTTGGTAAACTGATCTTTGTCTGAGAATGTTACTAAAATTGAAGGCATTAATTGCCAAGTTAGCAAATTTCAAATTTGTCTGATTAAGTGGATTCAGTTTCTGGTTTGGCTAAACGTTTCAAAGCAATATCATGAACTATACTCTTATTGTTTGCAGACCAATCCATCACCAAAAGTTACTGAAGACATTTGATTTCTTTCAACGACACAGAGTATAGTCTTGTCCTTACTTTGTAAAATTCCAATGGTTCCTGGAGGCAACAACCCTCCAAATTAATGATACTATTTGTCTTTCTTCCTTTCTTGTGACCATGGCTGCGTTGACGTTGACGTTGGTTAGAAAGCGTGGAACTTTGCGTCTTATATTTTGTAATTAGATCCATATGAGATTGCATTAAACAACAAATAGTTTCAGCAGAAGGAATCCTTCTGTTCTACCAGGGGGTACGGGTGGCTCAGTCGTCTAAGGCGCCGCGATTCGCTGTGCAGAGTTGCGTTCCTTGGGCAAGCCAGAAACCTATGATTGTGGGTTCGAATCCCGGTTAGCCCCGATTATGTTTCTAGGTTTGTCAGCACCATGCCCGTGCTCGTGGGTTTCACCGAAGTGGTTATTGTCCGAGATCTGCATCACTTCAGGCTTTCCTCCCACATAAAGCTGACAGGCCGTGGTATAACTGGAATACTGTTAAAAGTGGCGTTAAACCCAAACCACTCACTCTGTTCTGCCAAGGGCATGCCAGCACAGGGAAGGACGACGACTTAGTCTTTCGTGCTCCGAACAACGGTTATGGACTTTCGTTGTTACTTTAGTTTTTTTGTCAATAATTCATCTTTCCTTAACCTGGCAGTGTACTGTATACGCATCACGGACACATGACAAGTTATGTCGTACCGAGTGGTGTCGGTCCTTCGTGTAACATTGATTCAATAAAAAGTGTTCAGCTGGTGTATGTAAGGTCTTGTGTATAAGGGAAGCATGTACGTAGTGAGCAACACCTGGATTACCCGTGGTATGAACCAATTAATAGTTAATCAGCTATACTCCCGTAGTGTCGTGCAAGACACGGGGGCAAACGAGCTGGGTAGAATGTGCCCCTAAGCTCACGGGTTTTCACATAACGGAAAATGTCCCTCTCATGACAGCAGGCAGACAAGTGAAGTAGAATGTCACCTTCATCTCGCGGGCAGACAAGTGAAGTAGAATGTCAACTTCATCTGGCGGGCAGACAAGTGAAGTAGAATGTCACCTTCATCTGGCGGGCAGACAAGTAAAGTAGAATGTCACCTTCGTCTGGCGGGCAGACAAGTGAAGTAAAATGTCATCTTCAATTGGCGGGCAGACAAGTGAAGTAGAATGTCACCTTCATCTGGCGGGCAGACAAATGCAGCAGAATGTCACCTTCGTCTGGCGGGCAGACAAGTGAAGTAGAATGTCCTTTTCATCTGGCGGGCAGACAAGTAAAGCAGAATGTCACCTTCATCTGGCGGGCAGACAAGTGCAGTAGAATGTCAACTTCATCTGGCGGGCAGACAAGTGCAGCAGAATGTCACCTTCATCTCGCGGGGAGACAAGTGAAGCAGTATGTCACCTTCATCTGGCGGGCAGACAAGTGCAGTAGAATGTCACCTTCATCTCGCGGGGAGACAAGTGAAGCAGTATGTCACCTTCATCTGGCGGGCAGACAAGTGCAGTAGAATGTCACCTTCATCTCGCGGGGAGACAAGTGAAGCAGTATGTCACCTTCATCTGGCGGGCAGACAAGTGCAGTAGAATGTCACCTTCATCTCGCGGGGAGACAAGTGAAGCAGTATGTCACCTTCATCTGGCGGGCAGACAAGTGCAGTAGAATGTCACCTTCATCTCGCGGGGAGACAAGTGAAGCAGTATGTCACCTTCATCTGGCGGGCAGACAAGTGCAGTAGAATGTCACCTTCATCTGGTGGACAGACAAGTGAAGCAGTATGTCACCTTCGTCTGGCGGGCAGACAAGTAAAGTAGAATGTCACCTTCATCTGGTGGACAGACAAGTGAAGCAGTATGTCACCTTCATCTGGCGGGCAGACAAGTGCAGTAGAATGTCACCTTCGTCTGGCGGGCAGACAAGTAAAGTAGTATGTCACCTTCATCTGGCGGGCAGACAAGTGAAGCAGTATGTCACCTTCGTCTGGCGGGCAGACAAGTAAAGTAGAATGTCACCTTCGTCTGGCGGGCAGACAAGTGAAGTAGAATGTCACCTTCATCTGGCGGACAGACAAGTGCAGTAGAATGTCGCCTTCATCTGGCGGACAGACAGATTAGTAAATGCAGTAGAATTTTTTAACTTCATTTCGCGGACAGATAGATGAAATAACATAACATACTCCCCCTTAGGTCGATGAAAGTTGACACATAGCAACTTATGACCATCTATCATGGCCCAGATGTCAATGATTTCTTACTTCTGGAACATCTCTCATTTTCACATTATTTCGTGGTCATTTTTCATATACTAAGAGAAGCAATGTAGATAATATGTCATAGCGTTAATGAAATAATCTACATAACACAATGACAGGCATTGGATTACAACCATTAGATTAGTACTAATTTCCTCATCGCACTGACCTGAGCGTTTGTCGTTTGACACCGCTGACAATGGTACAGTATGGTGCTACATCCTTTATAGCGTGTACTGTTATGAGCAGACAATGTCACAGTATGGTGCTACATCCTTTATAGCGTGTACTGTTATGAGCAGCCAATGTCATAGTATGGTGCTACATCCTTTATAGCGTGTTCTGTTATGAGCAGACATTGTCACAGTATGGTGCTACATCCTTTATAGCGTGTACTGTTATGAGCAGCCAATGTCATAGTATGGTGCTACATCCTTTATAGCGTGTTCTGTTATGAGCAGACAATGTCACAGTATGGTGCGACATCCTTTATAGCGTGTACTGTTATGAGCAGACAATGTCACAGTATGGTGCGACATCCTTTATAGCGTGTACTGTTATGAGCAGCCAATTTCATAGTATGGTGCTACATCCTTTATAGGGAGAACTGTTATGAGCAGACATTGTCACAGTATGGTGTTACATCCTTTATAGCGTGTTCTGTTATGAGCAGACAATGTCATAGTATGGTGCTACATCCTTTATAGCGTGTTCTGTTATGAGCAGACAATGTCACAGTATGGTGCGACATCCTTTATAGCGTGTACTGTTATGAGCAGCCAATGTCATAGTATGGTGCTACATCCTTTATAGCGTGTACTGCATTAATAACAGACAATGATGCTAATTTCGATTTAGAACATATTATCTGTGCGGTGCAAAATGCACTTTCAAATACAAGGTAGTGGTGATACAGATAACCAAAAAATGACATAAAATAGTTATAATAAATTCATTTAATAATCATAAATGAAACACAATTCTATAAAACACAAATCAGTACACAAAATGTATAACAATAAATAATGATGGATACTCGGCGAGTTGATTATCTGTTACCTGGGTTGTGTGAGAGCATATCGACATAAACGGTGTAATATCAGTATCAGTATAAACCTTATTAACACGGAACACCTGGGAACCACCGCCTATCCCTTCATCTGAAGTGCAAGGTAAGCGGAGCGTTGATATAAAACCATGGAGTCGATATTGATGAACCATGAAGTTTCATCGACTTAAGCGATTCATTGAGCTAAAAGAGATCGAGTTAACGAGATGCAACTAGTTATGCTCATATCATACGTAACATGGGGGGTTGTGTCCAAAATGTCATCAAACATCGGGGACAGTTATAGCATTGAAGATTTGGATGCTAGTGATTATAGTTTATCGTGAACGAGTTAACGCCGCTTTGAACGGTATTTCGGGTATCAGCGTGTCAGCTTAATCTAATGGCGATGGCTGTAACGAAACCCGTTGTGTGGTACCTCAATCGGTCGCGATGCGATACCAGTCGAAACTTGTCTCATACCGCGTTTCCCCATCTCCTAGTCAAGGGCATGTCCGTGGCGCAACCAAAACAGGTACAATTTCTTTTGTGAAACGATTGCCTCTGATTTCAGGGCACCTGCATAAACAGCCAGAGGGTAGCATTTTACAATAACTGTACACACAGTAATACATGTCCAGATATACTACTCAAATGAAGTTAAAGAACATCCGATTTTTTCATATGACCATAGTTAATCTGTCACAGCTGATCGGTATTGCAGCCTTTGTGGGTGTTCCTTACTTGTCGTATTGTATCGAGGTTTAACCTCCTAGTCGTGCCTTAAGGCATCACAATACTGATGGTGAATCGTTACAGTCTGAATGAGTATACCAGTTACATTACGGTTTGAGGTGGGAGGAAAACCCGAAGTGATGCAGATCTTAGACGTGTACCACTTTGATGAAACCCACGAGCAGGGGTATGGTGCTGACAAACCTAGAAACATAATCAGAACGAACCCCGGTCATAATTTTCAGGTATGCCCAGGGGAACGCAACTCTGCACAGCGAAGTGCGGCGCCTCAGACGGCTGGGCCACCCTGAACGACCAGCCGATTGAGGCAACTAAGGGGCGTAACTCTTCAAATCGAGTTGCGTTGCCTTAGGCAACTGGCTCCGGTGTCTCCATTGGTTGTCGGTAACGGAAATAGTCATCAGGTCGCATGATATGTCAGAACTGCCATTTAATGGTCAATGTATCAATAAATGTTTAACTGTCGCCAACATAATGTATTCATTTATTTAAAACCATAATAACTATCTAAAATGCCCTTTTCTTCTTTTTACATTTTGATCTTTTCCGTTTTAATTTCTGCATTCGGATGTCTTGTTTAAATGAAAACTTCCTGACGTAGCTGTTGGGGGAGACAGACAAGCGGATCTCCCTCTGACCATGATGCTCCATCATCCCCATCAGGATGTACTCTCTCCCAGTGCGCAGGCGCGGACACTTGCAGATGTTGTACACCCAGATGTACTCCCTGTGGAGGAGGGGGACGATGTTCCTGTAGGTGTACATGATGCTGATGTCGTAACGGGTAGCGTTCCCAAACACTTCAAATCCGTTCACTCGCGCTTTGGACACTGAAACCAGAATCAAGGACTCGTCATATTTAAGGGACTGAACCGTGATGGTTGGGTGGGATAGGGCAGGGGTGGGACGGGGTGAGGTGGGTGGGATGGGGCAGGTGTGGGACGGTGTGAGGTGGGGTGTGATGGGGCAGGGGTGGGACGGGGCAGGGGTGGGACGGTGTGAGGTGGGGTGTGATGGGGCAGGGGTGGGACGGTGTGAGGTTGGTGGGATGGGGCAGGGGTGGGACGGTGTGAGGTGGGGTGTGATGGGGCAGGAGTGGGACGTGATGGGGCAGGACGTGATGGGGCAGGGGTGAGACGGAGTGAGGTGGGGTGGGATGGGGCAGGGTGGGACGGGGTGGGGTGAGTTGGATGGGGCAGGGGTGGGACGAGGCGGGGTGGGACGTGATGGGGCAGGGGTGGGACGAGGCGGGGTGGGGTGTGATGGGGCAGGGGTGGGACGGTGTGAAGTGGGGTGTGAGGTGGGGTGTGATGGGGCAGGGGTTGGACGGGGTGAGGTGGGTGGGATGGGGCAGGGGTGGGACGGTGTGAGGTGGGGTGTGATGGTGCAGGGGTGGGACGTGATGGGGCAGGGGTGGGACGGAGTGAGGTGGGGTGGGATGGGGCAGGGTGGGACGGGGCGGGGTGGGACGTGATGGGGCAGGGGTGGGACGAGGCGGGGTGGGGTGTGATGGGGCAGGGGTGGGACGGTGTGAAGTGGGGTGTGAGGTGGGGTGTGATGGGGCAGGGGTTGGACGGGGTGAGGTGGGTGGGATGGGGCAGGCGTGGGACGGTGTGAGGTGGGGTGTGATGGTGCAGGGGTGGGACGTGATGGGGCAGGGGTGGGACGGAGTGAGGTGGGGTGGGATGGGACAGGGTGGGACGGGGTGGGGTGGGTTGGATGGGGCAGGGGTGGGACGAGGCGGGGTGGGACGTGATGGGGCAGGGGTGGGACGAGGCGGGGTGGGGTGTGATAGGGCAGGGGTGGGACGGTGTGAGGTGGGGTGTGATGGGGCAGGGGTGGGACGGGGCAGGGGTGGGACGGTGTGAAGTGGGGTGTGAGGGGGCAGGGGTGGGACGGTGTGAGGTGGGGTGTGATGGGGCAGGGGTGGGACGTGATGGGGCAGGGTTGGGACGGAGTGAGGTGGGGTGGGATGGGACAGGGTGGGACGGGGTGGAGTGGGTTGGATGGGGCAGGGTGGGACGAGGCAGGGTGGGACGAGGCGGGGTGGGACGTGATGGGGCAGGGGTGGGACGAGGCGGGGTGGGGTGTGATAGGGCAGGGGTGGGGCGGAGTGAGGTGGGGTGGGATGGGACAGGGTGGGACGGGGTTGGGTGGGTTGGATGGGGCAGGGTGGGACGAGGCGGGGTGGGACGTGATGGGGCAGGGGTGGGACGAGGCGGGGTGGGGTGTGATAGGGCAGGGGTGGGACGGTTTGAGGTGGGGTGGGATGGGGCAGGGGTGGGACGGGGTCAGGTGGGGGTTGATGGGGCAGGGGTGGGACGAGGCGGGGTGGGGTGTGATAGGACAGGGGTGGGACGGGGTGAGGTGGGGTGGGATGAGGCAGGGGTGGGACGGGGTCAGGTGGGGGTTGATGGGGCAGGGGTGGGACGGGGTGGGGTGGGGTCTGGCATTTGTTCTGGTGATAAGAATAGTTTTCAGTCAGAGCTGCAAAACCAGATATTATTCAAATTTAAATTATGAGCCAAAATATTCTTTTAAGAAAAACACATTACAACAATGTAATTGTTGTGGCAGGCAAGTTCTTTTCCCAACAGTCTGAAGTATAATTATCTTATGAATTTTGGGGGACAAGTATTCTTTTCCCAATAAAATCCCAGGCCAACGACGCAATAAGGAAACTCCGTATGGACAGATGGTATTCGTCGTTTACAAAGACAGATTTTCATCCAATTTCATATGAATAATATTTCCTGACTTTTTTCTTTGAGATAAATATATATCGTACATGAACACTAACGTGAGTTTTAATATCAATGTGAAATAACCAGAATTACTGGTTACTCTATCAGACATTTGCCTCTGGTGCCTTCACACAGAATGATTTTGCCCCGGTCACAATGACTTCAATCATTTAATAACTGTGTTGTAAACAAACACCTGATTGACAATGTCATACCAATCTATATTCGTCCACGTGATAGTTCGATCGGGAACAAAGCATACACATGTGACGAATGCATACGATAAATGTTGTTTAAATTAGTCACCAGTGTGTTTACTGAAACGAACAATGGTTCTTATTGTCGAAGTGCTACTTTGTTTAATCAATGTGCTGGTCGACTTTTTAAGCTCGCGAAAATGACATGTTTCTACATTAACTGTAAACGGGTAACAGGGAGACAGTAACGATCCTAGTTTATTAATATAGTGTAGTGAAGCAGTGTCATGTTTGTGTCCACAAACACGTTTCATCTAGCGATGACCTTATGAGAAAGAGATGTTCTCAAATCGTTGTCTGACTACGGCGTCTGACGTCATTCATTACAGAAAATCAAGCGTGTAAATCATCTAACTGTTGCTAAAAATGAGCTGCTTTCATTATTTTACACGAGGGGGCGTTGTAAACGAAGCACTTGTATAAATTCAGTTGTTCTAATATCTTACAAAACTTAAATCTCACTTAAAAATATGCATAATTTTACTTCTCAGACAGCATGTGAATAAACATATTGAACATACATTAAATCTGTTCCTGTTAAACACTGGTCCATATACTGTATGTATCAACTGCGTTCACTTACTCACAGACCAGGCAGTGTGCCGACTCTCGTTTGGGGGTAATTAGTCATTATTTTCTGCCAAAAAAGATACTTTAAAACCATATTTAATAAATAAACAACTCGTGCTCGTTGTTTAGTGTAAAATGAAACACTGCAGGGAGAATAACACCTGTAATGTTTTATTGTAGATAAACAACGAACACGAGTCGTTCATTTCTTTTCTGAGATGTTAACATCATTTACAGTCTCTTTTAGGATGTTGATGAAATCTACAAGCTTTGAACATACTTATCCAAATTTTAATAAAGATGACTCCATGAATAGAAATCGATTTTTCAGAAATGACGCTATGATACGTAGATCGTAGAACAATGTTTTATCGTGAAATAAACCACGCTTCCTTCTGTATTGTTCTTTGCGATTTATCGCGAAGCTATTTCATATTATGTCATAACACCAGACTTTGCCGCTGTATATTTTACGAGTGCTTCAGTTGATATCACAATAGCATGGAGGGCAATGCATGAAGTTTCAGTCTGAATTCAATCAAAGAGGCAGCCGAATCAGGGCTTTCCCAAGGGACATCGGAGACCCACTACTAACGAACAATATGGATCCCCCGAGGTATAGTTTGATATCTGGAAATCCTTTATCACAGATCTTGAGTAATTTGCTCTACAATCGTGCATGTTTGCCACTATTTGAGCTCTAAGGCCTATATCGCACTTACCAAAATCACTTGCACAGAACTGTTTTTTTCGATTCTGGATTTTCTTGCACGTTGGGCACTGACCTGCGTTGTGGAAAGAGGAAATTACAACTTTACAAAGGACTGGCAAATAAAACTGCCATGGACCATGGAACCCAAGTGCTCGGCGAAGGTCTGACGTCTACGTCTATCACCTGGCTGATAAACACGCAATACTGCTTGCTTTCCTGCTTTAAATACACATATAGTTTATAATTATGCAAATGTGTATTGTTTTATACGAACACTGCTTTCTTCTTAGAGCATATGACATATCACAGTGATCTATAAATAACAAGAAGAATATTGCCCTAAAAAAACAAGGAGTGGTCAGTATACTGTGTCGGAGTGGGGTATCCATGTTAAACTGCAGCAAGGTATCGCAGTGAGCTAGCACTATAAAAAAGACAAAAGTCCGGACTAGTACGATCAGACAGACAGACACACACACACACACACACACACACAGACACACACAGACACACACATACAGACACACACACACACACAAATACACACGCGCGCGCGTCACTATATAATATTGAACGCGACCATTAACCCCATCTCACCCACACTCCTCCTCAGAGGTTATAACCCGACAACACTCACTTTTGCTCAGAAACTTCCTCTTCTTCTTCTTACTCTTCTTCTTCAACTTCTTCCTCGCCAGTCGATCCTGCCTCACTTTTTCTTTTGTAGCATTCTTCCGTTTATCCAAAGTCTTAGATTTACCATGTGTTCTCTGAATCCTGTCGCCGTGGTATTGTTTCGTCACTCTGCCCCCGTTGCCGAGGTCGTACTGCTTCGTCACCTTCCCCCCGTTGTCCATCTCCGACATGACGATGTCCCAGATCTGGTTGTCCGACAACGTGGTCTTCCTGGAGGGACTTGGCGGGACGGTGTAGCGCGTCGTTGTCGTCTCCACGTCAGTCACCGCGTCCACGGGGATGGCGTTGTCGAATCTCAAGAACGTCATGTTAAGGAGTTCTAGAGACGGTATTCCAGGCACCCAGAACTCGTAGTTAACCCCTCGGTTCTGTTCTCTGTACATCAACTGGGAGATGAAAGATACACGGGTGATGAACCTGGGCACCGCGGATGTTAACACCTGGATATCTCTGAACACAATGCCATTTAGAAAGTAGTCAAATGTAACAAATGTTATACTTTGGATAACACTTTCTTAGTAAAGCCCAGATTGTAGTACCTTTTGGGGTTGAATCCCATCCAGGATTCGAACCCACACAGTCAGAATGAGGCAACAAAGTCAGCGATCTAACCCACTCAGCCATCGAGGCTTCCACAAAATGAAAATCTGATAACTGGTTGTCTAGATCACGTACTTTGTGTACCCCTCTGACAAGTGTTAATTGTGAACACACATAGCTGGGACCCAACCCAAAAAAGTACTAGAATCTCTACTTTACTGGTGCTAAAGTGTTATCCCAAATATAACATTTGTTGCATGGATGGCTCGTTCTTAAAAGAGGTGGTTGTGCTGAGTTGCGCCCCTTAGGCGTTTTAGGAACCTATTATCATGGTTCGAATCCCGTATCGCCCTGACTACGTTTCTAGATTGTTAGCACCATACCCGTGCTCGTGGGTTACACCAAAGTGGAAAACGTCTGAGACTCATCATCGAAATACTGATCAGGGTGGCGTTACCAAAGTCACTCACTGTTCTGAAAATATAATGCTATTGACGCTCGTTTTCGAGCAAGTCAGGAAATTGTAACTATTGAAAAGAGATTTAATACAGGTCAAGACATATAAAGACAAATTATCAAAGTTTATTCTTTTCTCAAACGCTCTAAAAATATAAACACTACAATACAAACTTTGAAATCTAATCGATGTCATTACTTGTACAGAGTTTGTCGACATTACAAGGGCAACTTGGCGTCTCGTGCTCTGAAGCGGCGTTCAACTTGCTATGCAGAGTTGCGTCCCTTATCACTTGCTAGACAGTGCGTAAGCCAGTTCATATGGTGTCACACAGTGCGTTACCCTATTCATACCTCGTCAGAGAGTGCGTTAGCCTGTTCATATCCCGTTAGACAGTGAGTTCGCCTGTTCATATGCCGTCACACAGTGCGTTAGCCTGTTCATATCCCGTCAGAGAGTGCGTTAGCCTGTTCACATGCTGTCAGAGAGTGCGTTAGCCTGTTCATATGCCGTCAGAGAGTGCGTTAGCCTGTTCATATCCCGTTAGACAGTGCGTTAGCCTGTTCACATGCTGTCAGACAGTGCGTTAGCCTGTTCATAACCCGTCAAAGAGTGCGTTAGCCTGTTCATATGCCGTCAGAGAGAGCGTTAGTCTGTTCACATGCCGTCAGACAGTGCGTAAGCCTGTTCATTACCAGTCAGAAAGTGCGTTAGCCTGTTCACATGCCGTCAGACAGTGCGTCCGCCTGTTCATAACTCGTCAGAGAGTGCGTTAGCCTGTTCATATGCCGCCAGACAGTGCGTTAGCCTGTTCATATCCCGTCAGAGAGCCCGTTAGCCTGTTCACCTGCCGTCAGACAGTGCGTTAGCCTGTTCATATGCCGTCAGAGAGTGCGTTTTCCTGTTCATATGCCGTCAGAGAGTGCGTTAGCCTGTTCATATCCCGTTAGACAGTGAGTTCGCCTGTTCATATGCCGTCAGGCAGAGCGTTAGCCTGTTCATATGCCGTCAGGCAGTGCGTTAGCCTGTTCATATGGCGTCAGACAGTGCGTCAGCCTGATCATAACCCGTCAGACAGTGCGTCACCCCTTACCTTCGTCATGTTGACCTTTCTGCCACAAAGCTGACACATCGTGATTGTTACCATAATTCTGAAAGTGTTAAACCGGACGCACCTACTCACAAACTGGACATCACAAATATTCACCATAACGTGTAAGTCCTCGGATGTGGGCCCGTCTCCCTGTAGAGCCTCGTACCCAGTGTTGACTCGGTCGTAGGTCACCACTGTGCCGCCAATAGAGTAGATGCCTGGACTGGCGATGGTGTAGTGGCCGTTCAGAACGAAGTTGTTCTTTGAATTCATAAGCGCTGCAATACATTATAAGAACAATGACAGTGACCTTAGCACAGCTATAGGCACGTCGACGATCGATTGAGTCATGTTGACTTTAAAGTGTGTTCACATTCAACGATGTTTCTAAATCGAAACATCTCTATGGTATAGTGTCTGTGTACCTTTTCAAAGACGACGGATGGTGGTTTAGGGGTGTTCACATCTCTGTCACAGAGACAAAGAAGGAGTCACAGTAAGCAAAAAGTCAAGAACCTACATCACGTATCACTGTAAACTTAATGGCCCATTCGCCTACGGCGCCGCAATTAACTGTGCAGAGTTGCGCCTCTTAGGTGTGTCAGAAACCTATGATCCCGGCTTCGATTACTTTTCTATGTCTGTTAGAACCATATAAAACAAACCTAGCTCACTCACTGTAAAGTTTCGGTGTTCGTGATAAGCTTGTCCTGCCCTAGGGATAGCATTAAGGAATACAAATGAGTTGGCCTGGGAAAGAAATACGGCCAACGTCAAGTCAAGAAAATGGGCAGATGACGACATTTTCTACATCACACCAGATATAGCAAGGCAGGTTGAAATGACATGGGTTGTCCATTCGTTCTAAAGCGCCCCAGGATCTGGTGATCGTGAGTTGGCATGGAGAACCAACTGAAAGCGGCATGCCGGGCTTTCCACCCATGCCAAGCAGACGCGCCGTGATAACTGAAATACTGTTCAAAGTGGCACGCCGGGCTTTCCACCCATACCAAGCAGACGCGCCGTGATAACTGAAATACTGTTCACGCCGGGCTTTCCACCCATGCCAAGCAGACGCGCCGTGATAACTAAACTACTGTTCACGCCGGGCTTTCCACCCATGCCAAGCAGACACGCCGTGATAACTGAAATACTGTTCAAAGCGGCACGCCGGGCTTTCCACCCATGCCAAGAAGACACGCCGTGATAACGGAAATACTGTTCACGCCGGGCTTTCCACCCATGCCAAGCAGACGCGCCGTGATAACTGAAATACTGTTCACGCCGGGCTTTCCACCCATGCCAAGCAGACGCGCCGTGATAACTGAAATACTGTTCACGCTGGGCTTTCCACCCATACCAAGCAGACGCGCCGTGATAACTGAAATACTGTTCACGCCGGGCTTTCCACCCATGCCAAGCAGACGCACCGTGATAACTGAAATACTGTTCAAAGCGGCACGCCGAGCTTTCCACCCATGCCAAGCAGACACGCCGTGATAACTGAAATACTGTTCACGCCGGGCTTTCCACCCATACCAAGCAGACGCGCCGTGATAACTGAAATACTGTTCAAAGCGGCATGCCGGGCTTTCCACCCATGCCAAGCAGATGCGCCGTGATAACTGAAATACTGTTCAAAGCGGCACGCCCGGCTTTCCACCCATGCCAAGCAGACACGCCGTGATAACTGAAATACTGTTCACGCCGGGCTTTCCACCCATACCAAGCAGACGCGCCGTGATAACTGAAATACTGTTCACGCTGGGCTTTCCACCCATGCCAAGCAGATGCGCCGTGATAACTGAAATACTGTTCACGCTGGGCTTTCCACCCATACCAAGCAGACGCGCCGTGATAACTGAAATACTGTTCACGCCGGGCTTTCCACCCATGCCAAGCAGACACGCCGTGATAACGGAAATACTGTTCAAAGCGGCACGCCGAGCTTTCCACCCATGCCAAGCAGACACGCCGTGATAACTGAAGTACTGTTCACGCCGGGCTTTCCACCCATACCAAGCAGACACGCCGAGATAACTGAAATACTGTTCAAAGTGGCACGCCGGGCTTTCCACCCATGCCAAGCAGACACGCCGTGATAACTGAAATACTGTTCAAAGTGGCACGCCGGGCTTTCCACCCATACCAAGCAGACACGCCGAGATGACTGAAATACTGTTCAAAGTGGCACGCCGGGCTTTCCACCCATGCCAAGCAGACACTCCGTGATAACTGAAATACTGTTCAAAGCGGCACGCCGGGCTTTCACTCATGCCAAGCAGACGCGCTGTGATAGCTGAAATACTGTTCAAAGCGGCACGCCGGGCTTTCCACCCATGCCAAGCAGACACGCCGTGATAGCTGAAATACTGTTCAAAGCGGCACGCCGGGCTTTCCACCCATGCCAAGCAGACACGCCGTGATAACTGAAATACTGTTCAAAGCGGCACGCCGGGCTTTCCACCCATGCCAAGCAGACACGCCGTGATAACTGAAATACTGTTCAAAGCGGCACGCCGGGCTTTCCACCCATGCCAAGAAGACACGCCGTGATAGCTGAAATACTGTTCAAAGCGGCACGCCGGGCTTTCCACCCATGCCAAGCAGACACGCCGTGATAGCTGAAATACTGTTCAAAGCGGCACGCCGGGCTTTCCACCCATACCAAGCAGACACTCCGTGACAGCTGAAATACTGTTCAAAGCGGCACGCCTGGCTTTCCACCCATGCCAAGCAGACACGCTGTGATAGCTGAAATACTGTTCAAAGCGGCACGCCGGGCTTTCCACCCATGCCAAGCAGACACGCCGTGATAACGGAAATACTGTTCAAAGCGGCACGCCGGGCTTTCCACCCATGCCAAGCAGACACGCCGTGATAACTGAAATACTGTTCAAAGCGGCACGCCGGGCTTTCAACCCATACCAAGCAGACACGCCGTGATAACTGAAATACTGTTCAAAGCGGCACGCCGGGCTTTCCACCCATGCCAAGCAGACACGCCGTGATAGCTGAAATACTGTTCAAAGCGGCACACCGGGCTTTCCACCCATACCAAGCAGACACTCCGTGATAGCTGAAATACTGTTCAAAGCGGCACGCCGGGCTTTCCACCCATGCCAAGCAGACACGCTGTGACAGCTGAAATACTGTTCAAAGCGGCACGCCGGGCTTTCCACCCATGCCAAGCAGACACGCTGTGATAGCTGAAATACTGTTCAAAGCGGCACGCCTGGCTTTCCACCCATGCCAAGCAGACACGCTGTGATAACGGAAATACTGTTCAAAGCGGCACGCCTGGCTTTCCACCCATGCCAAGCAGACACGCTGTGATAACGGAAATACTGTTCAAAGCGGCACGCCGGGCTTTCCACCCATGCCAAGCAGACACGCTGTGATAACGGAAATACTGTTCAAAGCGGCGACAAACCCAAATACGTCTTTACAAGGTTAATTTGGACGGGGTCCTGAAACCAGGAAGTTGTCGGAAGTACATGCTATAGGTACACAACGAAGGCATCTCTGAAGTTGTGTCACAGAATACATTGTAGGGCATTGGGCTACTCTAGTCGGTAGCTGTCACCATATACAAGCTGTAGGACATTGGGCTACTCTAGATGGTAGCTGTCACCATATACAAGCTGTAGGACATTGGGCTACTCCAGACGGTAGCTGTCACCATATACAAGCTGTAGGACATTGGGCTACTCCAGACGGTAGCTGTCACTATATACAAGCTGTAGGGCATTGGGCTACTCTAGTCGGTAGCTGTCACCATATACAAGCTGTAGGACATTGGGCTGCTCTAGATGGTAGCTGTCACCATATACAAGCTGTAGGACATTGGGCTACTCCAGATGGTAGCTGTCACCATATACAAGCTGTAGGACATTGGGCTACTCCAGATGGTAGCTGTGTCACCATATACAAGCTGTAGGATATTGGGGCTACTCCAGATGGTAGCTGTCACCATATACAAGCTGTAGGACATTGGGCTAATCCAGATGGTAGCTGTGTCACCGTATCCATGCTGTAGGACATAAGGGCTACTCCAGATGGTAGCTGTCACCATATACAAGCTGTAGGACATTGGGCTACTCCAGATGGTAGCTGTGTCACCGTATCCATGCTGTAGGACATAAGGGCTACTCTACCTAGGTGGTTGCGACTGGACTCCTTCACGCTGAAGTGAGTTGATCCCCGTGGGATGGTTACTACCTCATTGTAACCCCGGTGCTCTGCAACAAGGAAATCATATACAGTGGGTGGTCTTGATAAGCAGTGAAACAATGCTCCTCCCCCTTTACTAGGGGGTGACCTAGGGTGTCATGTTTCTCGCTAGCCTGTCCCTAGGGTGTCATGTTTCTCGCGACTATGCCCCTAGAGTGTCATGTTTCTCGCGAGTTTGCCCCTTGGTGTCATGTTTCTCGCGAGCCTGTCCCTAGGGTGTCCTGTCTCTCGCGAATCTGCCCCTAGGGTGTCAGGTTTCTCGCGAGTCTGCTCCTGGGGTGTCATGTTTCTCGCGAGTCTGCCCCTGGGTGTCATGTTTCTCGCGAGCCTGTCCCTATGGTGTCATGTTTCTCGCGAGTCTGCCCCTAGGGTGTAATGTTTCTCGCGATTCTGCCCCTTGGGTGTCATGTTTCTCGCGAGTCAGTCCCTAGGGTGTCATGTTTCTCGCGATTCTGCCCCTAGGGTGTCATGTTTCTCGCGATTCTGCCCCAAGGGTGTAATGTTTCTCGCGATTCTGCCTCTAGGGTGTAATGTTTCTCGCGAGTCTGCCCAAAGGGTGTAATGTTTCTCGCGAGTTTGCCCCTTGGGTGTCCTGTTTCTCGCGATTCTGCCCCTAGGGTGTCCTGTTTCTCGCGATTTTGCCCCAAGGGTGTCATGTTTCTCGCGAGTCTGCCCAAAGGGTGTAATGTTTCTCGCGATTCTGCCCCAAGGGTGTCATGTTTCTCGCGATTCTGCCCCTAGGGTGTCATTTTTTCTCGCGATTTTGCCCCTAGGGTGTCATGTTTCTCGCGATTCTGCCCCTAGGGTGTAATGTTTCTCGCGAGTCTGCCCAAAGGGTGTAATGTTTCTCGCGAGTCTGCCCAAAGGGTGTCATGTTTCTCGCGAGACTGCCCAAAGAGTGTAATGTTTCTCGCGAGTCTGCCCCAAGGGTGTCATGTTTCTCGCGAGTTTGCCCCAAGGGTGTCATGTTTCTCGCGAGTCTGCCCCTGTGGTGGCAATTCACATGATTATCTCTCCATGTGGTGCTAAACGAATAAGTCCGACCTCAAACTAGGTGCAACTAGGGCGACTATGCATCGAGAGTTAGGAGGAGGTGTAAACTTAGTATCCCTTTGTTATGGATATCTGTTTTTCATTGTTCCCTTTATACTTTACACTGTCCAAGTGCTTTCCTATTCAAGTCTTGTTGTTGAACAAGTCGCACATAAACTGTCTGACATACAACTGACAACTGATTAAAGTGTGAAATATTTGTATCAATTTACGTAAGTGTGAGTAACAATTTAATCCATTACTTGCACACTGAGTGTGTACTATCGGTATAGGTATCTGTGTCTTCAAGTGTATGTTATGGCCATAACCCTAACTATCTATGATACGTCATCCAACATTGCGCCACTATCTATTGAACCTTTTTATTCAAAGTCAGTGATAGAAATACGAAAGAAAAAAGTAAGATAAGACAGGAACAAAATGATATGAAATTATCACGTGTTTAAATGGCATCTTGAAAGATTCAGTATCAACAAAGATAAAGTTGACATGGATTTCAACATTTTTATTTAATTTCTTTCAATACGAGGTTTCGGTGAAGGTGCTTCTATCGAGTAAGTCATGTTCCATCAGTCAAGTCCATCTTCATTAAATTATGGTTGATGGGGAAATGAAAATAAGTGTCAAACATAACAGACATTTAGCTGACGAAAAAAGATCAACTCGTTTGTCAGGCTGCACTTAAGGTCCGTCGGTTTATCTGAGGGCATAGGAGGTGGCCTGTCCCATACACTTCAAGACCAATTTTACGTTGCAATGAACAACATCCGCCTTATCGCCAAGAACAACGCGTTTCCACCGTTACCACAACGACAACATAACTTTCCCTCGTGATTTAACGGATTTTCACGATTTACAGGAACGCCTGACCTGACCTCTGACCCCGCCGAGTGGAGGTTATCGCGTGAAATACATTAAACCTATGATAACAGTGCAGCTCCCAACACTGTATTTTATCGGTGGAGTTTCTTCGTCACATTTAACAAAGCAGGACATTGTTTGTTGAAATAACTAAAATAGAACGATACCATACTACATTAATATGTATACGAGACCCGTCTTTGATAAATGTATACAACCATTTTCTTTTTTCTCCTCAGACACAAGTCTTGTGTGAAAAGATTACTCGTGTCCTGTTCGAATGATAAACAAAACAATTTCAGAATGTTGTAAACCGGATACGAAGATATAATGAGAGTGTCTATATACGATCTTTGTGAAGTCCTCCTGATGTTATGCTCCAAAACATTTTTCAACCTCTTCTGAGAATGATATTGTGAACCCTGAAGATACCACATTTGAGTGAGTGAGTTAAAAATTATCGTCGTATCGTAGTGCGCAGTTATAGCTTTTGAGCATCATGGCTTTTAGGCCGGACCATCGTTTAACACACGCGTAGAATTCGTTAATTTAAATAAAAGCGACGAAACAATTTCCTTCATCACAAGAAATATCTGCTAAAATTATCATAATAATGTGTTCAAATAGTAATGATATCAGGTTTTCGCGTAAAGGTAACCTGTTCCTGTTCCGCAATGGTATCCCTCACAAACACATGCAAAGACAAGGTTAAGAAAAGTTAAGAAGTATATTAAGAATATTTTAAGAATCTTTCACAAGTTGATCAGAGTTGATCAGATCAATCTAAATATCTTACTCCCCCTCCCAGTAGGCAGCTCAGTTCTGTATGTGGACTTGATGAAAGAACAGGTGTCATTCTTTCCGTTGCACACGCCACACATGTCCATCCGGGTCCCGCCGCCCACGTGATCGTCGCAGCCAATCAACTGACATATATAGAAAATGATATAACATCAAAACTCAGGGTATCACAGTATCATAAGACAATACTAGTCGTTGTTTACCTAGCATTTCCAATAGCATGCAAATTTTTATCTGTGTTGTGTCGGTTTATTAAAATATCCTGTTTTAATGAAAGTTGGATGAAAATGAAAAAAACAAATTGTGTAGATAACGTGTATCATGTTTGTCGACATTTGATCACATATAAACTGCACCCAGGTGCGTGGTATTTCTAAATGACATCTAAAAGCATTGCCTAAAATTGATATTGAAATAAATAAATCGAAATTTTGTGTTTGTTTGATTAAAAATAATGATACCACAGTCACTGTTGGCGTATAACTACATGACTAGTATTGTGAGATGGTTATAGGACATTACACGAGCTTCAATTTATAATGAATTTTCAATGTGAAGTTTACACAATATACGGCTTTCCCATTGGACGAGAGGTCGGTCACATGACGGCGAAACTGACGTGTATGAACGACACAATTTGACGTTCATATGTATTTCATGACACTGTGATCTTGAAATGACGTAAACACTGATGGACAACTTCAGATACCTACGCGCAAGCTCCGACCTTCATACAGTTTGGCAATCACTTTATGGAGGGTCAGACTTCAATGAACTCACACAAAGTGAGAAAAAAAGGCAATTTTTAAATCAAGTGTTTGGCCAGAGTGAGATAATTTTCAGTTTGACTGAAGTTTAGCAGGATTTATAGCGGTTTACCGAGGGCAAACTGAAAACTATTTCACGAGGGTCATTTACCCGATATCAAATTGAACATTTATCAATATTCCGTTGATTACCACAGATGTAAATAAAAACAACAAAAACAAACAGCTTCAGTACCGCCTATACAGTACCGTCTATACAGCAACTGAGAGAAAGGTCAAGGTTACGACGTTTTTTAACCAAACCACAGCGGAAGTCAGTGTTGTCATGGCGCTGTAAACAGTAGTTCCCCGTTCATTTTGACTCAACTACAGGTATTAGACAAAATGATATGTTGTCAAATTGAAAAACCGTATTTGTGTTTTAACAATGCACTAACGCCTTATCATAACTGACAAAACGCTAATTTAGTTGATTAAATTGATCGCAGTCTTTCTTTAATGTCGCCCTATGAACTCTTATCCCGTCTATGCACAAATGAGTTCTAGACTAGACAAGTGTGCATACGCAGCAGACAGCGAATTCTAGTTTGGATTCAGACTTGCAAGTACACATATATAGTGTCAGAAATGTTTTACGGACAGTTTTTCGGATGTCCCAGTTGGTACCTACGACTCTATGAATGGTCTTATTTAACCTTGCCGTCCCTCCTGCAACATGGCCGGCGATGAAGCCAGCTGAAAATGACCATGCATCACAGGACCTGACAAACGTTCATTCATTGACCATCCTGAACCATGTGACCTGACAAACGTTCATTCATTGACCATCCTGAACCATGTGACCTGACAAACGTTCATTCATTGACCATCCTGAACCATGTGACCTGACAAACGTTCATTCATTGACCATCCTGAACCATGTGACCTGACAAACGTTCATTCATTGACCATCCTGAACCATGTGACCTGACAAACGTTCATTCATTGACCATCCTGAACCATGTGACCTGTCAAACGTTCATTCATTGACCATCCTGCACCATGTGACCTGACAAACGTTCATTCATTGACCATCCTGAACCATGTGACCTGACAAACGTTCATTCATTGACCATCCTGAACCATGTGACCTGACAAACGTTCATTCATTGACCATCCTGAACCTTGTGACCTGACAAACGTTCATTCATTGACCATCCTGAACCATGTGACCTGTCAAACGTTCATTCTAGACCATCCTGAACCATGTGACCTGACAAACGTTCATTCATTGACCATCCTGAACCATGTGACCTGAAAACGTTCATTCATTGACCATCCTGAACCATGTGACCTGACAAACGTTCATTCATTGACCATCCTGAACCATGTGACCTGTCAAACGTTCATTCATTGACCATCCTGAACCATGTGACCTGTCAAACGTTCATTCAGCGAAAAAGATAATCAGCTGTACATGCTCATTTAAAATAAGATATTGTTTTTTTCTGCTGAAGCATTACAGCATTTGATAATACATAACAAATGTGAATTACATCAGCTTGTTTTCCTTTGTTTTCCTGCATTCCCAGAGTAAGTAAACAACGGTGTTCTCGTGAGCGAAATATGAACGAATGTATATAGCGAAAGTTGTCCCGTAAAGATCAGGGCTCACAATCAGACAATTGTTTGCCTAGAGTTATTGTAAAGTGATATGTGCACACAGCGCAAATATCAGAACTATGTGAACCGATGTGTTTTACCCCTGGGGAATAAAGTGGCGTACCTTGCATTGGCCATGGACACACACGTGGTTGTTGGTGTTGAGACACAGGGTCCCGTCCTGAACGGTGCCGAAGCTGTAGTAGTATGATCGACCCACGGCTTTACAGTTGAGCTCGCATGGCTTGCCTACAACAGGAACTAAAGTGACATAAACTCACGAGATTGATTAACATCCTGCTTCATTGGCTTGTAGACCCGTGAAGATTCAGGTTAGAATAGGTCTTAGGTCTTCAGCAACCCTTGCTTACCGTAACAAACGACTATGCTTATGGTAAGAGGCGTCTAACGGGATCAGGTGGTCAGGCTCGCTGAATTGGTTTATCCATGTCATCGTATCCCAATTGCGTGGATGGATGCTCATGATATCAATCCCTGGACTGTCTGGTCCAGACACGACTATTTACAGACAGCCGTCATATAGCTGTAATATTGCTGAGTGTGGCGTTAAACAACAACCAAACAAGCTGTCCAAAATAACTGATAGCAAGTAAACACATCCATCACCACTGTATTGATTTACCCGATAATCACTTTCGCGAGAAGAAACAAAGTTTCTTTATGATTTTTGATGATACTGGATTTTGATTGGTTAAACTGAGGTATCAAATCACATTGACACCACCATGGGAGGTCAGGTTAGGTGACTTAGAATATTGCCGAGAGTGGCGTTATACTAAAAAACATAACATAACTCTGAATTACGTCTGATTGACTAATATGGATTTATCTACACGATGTTGCACGACAAGCCACACGTAATACTAACTTACATTCCCTGCTTAACAGTCCCACAGTCTTTAACGACAAAATGGCAGACAAGTCTTGAGCAGAATATGATATGATATGGTACAAGACATGTCGAGGTCAAGGTCAAGGTCAAGGCCAAACGGGATTCTAATTACTCTTAGATAAACGTTGATAATTACTTCCTATAAATATTACACAGAATGTACATACGCCGTAATTGAGATGGCCGATAAGCCAATCTCAGCATGCTTCCGTCGCCGTTGTATGTCAACATTTGTATCCAGCGTGCTGTTCAGACCTACATGCAATCTCGCCAGCATGCGTGCTATGCCTGTTACCTGAAGGTATGTCTCCTTCTACATTCCCCCATACCGACATTGCAATGTAAGGCAGGCACTTTTACGTAACTGGAAGTGAGCGAGTATGGTGTTACGCCGCTTTTAGCAATATTCAAGCAATATCACGGCGGGGGACACCAGAAATGGGCTTCACACATTGTACCCATGTCGGGAATCGAACCCGGGTCTTCGGCGTGATGAGCGAAGGCTTTAACCACTAGGCTACCCGACCGCCCTCTAACTGGAAGTAATATATAACCCTACACGCATCATGCAGTGGCGTTTTCTCCGTAATATGTACGAACAAACTACTGCCTGTGTGATGGGTACCCATGGCAACGGATCCAGGGTACCCGGGTACATAAATGTGGGGTTATAGAAGGTTGGTTTATGCCGCAGCCAGTTAAATATCAACAATATTAGCAATAGTCTAACCCAAACATTCAGTGGTCAGAAGCACAAGTATCGGTCCATGACGGTAACCATGACGCTACCGTTGGGTAAGTCGCTGTCTGGGATGCGTGTAGAGGGGGTTAAGGCCCTGGGCTGATGATGAGCCTAACCAGCCTGACGATGCCAGGATCACCCAAACCCTCTTTGCAGCATTTTTTATTTATATCTGTATATAATAATAGTTGTCACGATTTTCTGTTTAAGGATGTACATGTATAATGTAATGAATACTTGTGATGTAAATACTGACCTGGTGCTAGTTGGAAATGCAAGTTTACCTAATCATGTGAACGAAAGCATTTTTAGGAATGTACATACATATATAAAGAAAACAAAAAGGTCTGAGTGAGAAGTGTGAATTTACATACGTTTCTCTATCTCTTTCCTTTCTATCATTTGATTTATTATCTGTAAATAAGCATACATGTAAATCTATGGGAGAGGGCGTTCTAAGTTGTGATAACTTGTGCCATATCTTTTTCATGAGAATAATATATGTTTAAACTAAACTAATGAACGTTACCTCCATCGTAGGGTATCCATTGGTGGATGCGGCCTGCGACATGACGGGTCTTGCTGAGAATGCGACACTGGTAGGCTCGGAAGTCTTCATCGTGGCTACACTTCTGTAACACATTGATACACTGGTGTACCTGTATGTATGTCATATGTATGATTGGAAGAATACATTCTCTTCTAAGCTTGTACGAACATCGAATGAAGGTTCACGTCAAACTTTCCTTCAGCTGAAACTTTCAAGTGTTTTCTTTCTCAGAAGAAAGTCCACATATCAGATGTTTGTATTGCAGCTTTGACCATTGCTTTATTGATGATGTATACTTTCTGTGGCTCATGAAAAGAGTATATACAACCTGTGTTACGTAAATGGTACAATGAAGGAAATTCTGTACAAAAACACTTGTCTGTTCATTTGACGATCAAGTCATTTTGAAGCGGACGTCTCGCGAAGTCTCGTGAAATCTCGTGAAGTTTCAATTTCTTAGAGAACTATATCTTCTTGGCAGTTGTTTGAAGATACACAACGGATAAAACATGCACTTACAATACTCACTTGGATATATATTATCATATATGAATGTTGAGTCAATCTAAGCATTGAATCGTTGAGCAGTATCATCATGCCTTACCCCAAGTTCACATAGTCTGTAGTCGATGTTGTTGCCGGCACAAGCGGTGAGGTGGGTCTCGGTATAGCGTTCACCCGTCCACTGCAGACAGTCACGTGTCCTCATCTTCACCCCCCGGCCACAAGTCCTGGAGCAGGGGCCGTAATTCGTCCAGTGACCCCAGATGGCCGGGGGCAGGGGTCGATGTTGGACGTGGGGGATAGGGGGCAGGTCACCTCCACTTAACTTCTTGCCTCGTGCCTGTAGTAAATGAGTGAGAAAACTGTCAAAACACAACAACAGGCGTGTCCAGTCATACTGGAGTGAGTGAGTGAGTTGGGTTTGACGCCGCTTTTTCAGTATATCAGTTATATCAAGGTGGGTAATGGATGTTTACCAACGTGCTCATCGACCAAGTAGCATAATCAGAGTGTCGCCAGTGGTTTAACCAATGACCAGTGGATCCTCGAAAGGCTAAGGAGCACAACTCAGAACAGCGAGCAGAGTTGCGTCCCATGTATGCCAGGGTCCGCTGGTGGGATTCGAACCCAGAATCGTCTTTATTATGACCCTTTGCTAGTGGCGTTAGCATAGGGAATATATTTGATAATGCAACCACGGTTGGTGGACTCACCTGCCACTGGCTCGCTGTAGACAACGTTGAAAGCAGCGTTCCGCCCTTGTACACAACGTTTCTAAGCATACTATTAATTACACCGCCACCTGGTGGCAAAAGTATCTCATCACCTGTGTTGTGGGAATACTATCACAATATGAAGGAGTAGGTAAAACAACATTAAACAACTAGTGTATATAACACTTATATGTACACAAGCTACAACTCAGTGTGTTACCTTACGTCTATCAGCCAGAGCAGACATAATTCAAACATGCCTCGCCATGTCACGACAACCATCTTGTATTGTAACATTATTTAGGGAACACGTATGTTTCTATGGAATCCTGGGTATTTACATGTATAACAACTCCGACATAATCTGCTCCATCAGCCAAAGCATTCTCTAATTAATAAGAAGGGTTGTTATTCATCAACGAAGAAATGTCTCTACTCTTTCTGTACTGTAAACATGTATTTGTCAATGCAGTTTGTCTGCAAACCTTCAAGTCTTAACTAGCATGGATGTGAAAAGCATCATTTTGTGAAGCAAATAACGTATTTGACGAGACTAGTTATTGACAGATAACTACAATACACTATTTACTGGGGTCATAGGTGATCCAGCCGGAATTGCGTAGAGTTGCGTCCCTTAGGCGTGCCAGAACACTCTGTTCATCGATTCGAATCCCAGATTCATCCTTATTCTGTTTCTAGGTTTATCAGCACCAAACCAGTGCTCGTGGGCTTCACGAAACTGGTACTAATTATCGCCTTAAACCGGCATCACTTCGGGCGTTAACTCGTGAATGCAAACTTTATACGGTAAATCTTGAAAATAATGCGTCTCCAAATTAACGCGAGCTTACCTCTAACCGAAAATTTGACTCAGTATTAATACGACTGAATACGAATCTTGGGTGAGAAATAAATAGTGGAAGAACTTTCGGTTGCGTGAAAATTCAAAGGATGCAATCATCAAATCGGATGTTTTAAACCGAGGGATATCATTGTTGAAAGATAGTGCCTTGGCAACTGTACCTCATGTGGCTTTGTGGCCAACAGTTCAACAAAGACAGCCAAACAATAAAAAGTGGTTTGTTGTCAGCGTTGATATTCAAATATGTTGTGATCAATATTGTGAGAAAAAAGGCACTTAATTCTAAAGATTTGAACAAAAACATGACGTCATGAGGAGAAACATAAAAGCAGCCGTTCAACTCCCTCAGTCTGACAATTGCAGAAGAACGAATCTTGAGATAATAAAGAGCATGGTAAAAATTTAAAGTTTTTGCAAAGAAACGGAACATATGTGTTTAATCCCATAACAAATTAAACAAATACTAATATCATTACCATTAATAGCCAATACCAAATACCAACATATAGCCAAGTAGTGCCCATTTTGAAAATCCGACTCGAAGCTCTTGAACATATATGGGCGTCTTTACTGGTGGGAAGAAGCATGTAGTATCTCAGCTTAATGGTTCCGTGCTTTCAGAGGAGAAGGTGTTTACAGTGTGAGGACATGCATTTTGAGATACAATTGTGGGAGCATGATCAAAGTGCACAGGTCAAATAAAGTTTGTATAGCCCTACTACAAACTACACGTATTCCAAATTACATTATTTTTAAAAGAAAATGTCTGGTTAATATCCATGATAAATTTCAGCTTTCAGTATGGCCGAAGTGCAAAGGTCAGATCAATGTCAAAATATATAAGATCGCAATTAGCGGAACACATATGCCAACTTTCAGGATATTTTGTACAAAAATGTTATTTTCAATGGATTCTGTGAATATTTCATGTTGAAAATTGGGAACGAACTTCTTGGGGTGTTATCATTGGTGGGAGCAAGTATGCAAAGTGCCAGCTTCATAGGTCAAGCGGAACCTGTGGACAAGCTGTTTACGACGAACAACGGACGGGCGACGAGCGACGGGTGACGGACAGACAGGCCAGAAACATAAGAAACTGTCAGGTGAGCTAAAGTCTCCCATTGACCATCAGAATCCAGAATTTATCACTCTATCACATCAGTCTATACTGTAGACTTCAGTTGGCATGGATTCACGAAGGTAGAAGGACTAGGAATAGATAACATGTTGGCCGGTGAGATGGCTTAATCGGCGTTTATTTGCTTTCTAGTTTCACATTACTGATAGGGGACCTAACCAATCACATTGATAGCAAAACACACGTAGGCGACATAATATTTCCCTATTTATGCACCTATCATTACCGGAAATGAGATATCAATTCTCCGTAAGACCTGAAACATTGTAGGGAAGACGCACGTCCGCTCCCCAGCATTGCCACCTACAGACTCGGAACCTTATCCCGATAACCGCCTGCATGTTCCGGCAAGACGGATTTCAGAGACCACCGAAGACTTACTATACTCAGTAAAACCATTTCTTACACAATACATTTCTCTCCACAGTTGCTTTTATTTGCTTATGCCCTGGTGAAAAAGCTAGATAAAATTCCTTGTCTATCATCTATATTAGGTCTGGTTGAATACATTCCATATATGTCACAGTCATGGCAAAGGAACAATACGATTTTAGTTATTCACGGTTTTACTTTTTAGATGTACATCCATCATCTTAATCCTCGTGTTTAGTTTGTTTTTTTGAACGAGTGTTTTTAACCATAATCAATCAAACCCCATATAACCCGCGTCTACGCAAAGAGGGTCAATGTAACAGTGACATCTATATTATCTAGTCGTTGTTGTTGTTTGTTGTTTAGCGACGCTCTCAGCGAGCGTGACCACCCGATCCCGTTAGTCGCCTCATACAACAAGCATAGTCGCCTTTTACAGCAAGCATGGGTTGCTGAAGACCTATTCTATCCCGGATCTTCACGTGAGCTATTCTCTAGTACACCAGTATTGCGAGGTCTCAAGTTCCTGGGGCTTGGGAAGACTAATCATTAAAACATTCCTCATCACATCAGGTTCGATTCCCATCTTGAGAACAATGTCTCTTGTCGTGATACTGTTATAAGCTGACTCACCCCCTGTCGTGTACTGAAGTGGATGAAAGTACCAGTACCTCCTCTCAGACGTCCACGCCATTGCAATTTATAGCTGTCACAAAGCTGTATTCGTGGGCCCCCAACTAATATTCGCCCTCGTATTGTTGCCAGTCTTGACAGCACCATAGCCCTGCTCGTGGGCTTCACGTAAGTAGTAAACATCGAAGACCGACATCACTTCGGACTTTACCCCACACCACGCCCCCTGCTGTAACCGAACTACTTTTGAAAGCGGCGTTAAACAAAACTAACTCATTCACTCAAAATTCAACCCCTATTTTATTTCCGAATTTCCAAATATTAAGATAACCACAATGAATGAAACGGTAAGACCCAAGAATAGCCAAAGCAGTGACCTATGTGACGCCGCTGCCCTGCAACAGATAACCCATGAGTTACTGCAGCATCCCTTTGACGTTAACGGAGGATGGCGTCAGGCAGTGCCACACACGTTACGCGGCAGTATGTCAAGAGGAGAGGTGGTTTATTGGCCACTCTGTGTGAGATAAATGCAATGCGACTGACTGTACACACTCTAATGTATGTGATAAACGTGTATGAATTGCAAACACATCATCTGTCGTCAGTGGGTGCGATATAACGTGATGCCGGAGTGTCTGTTACCGGACTGACGCCATATTTCACGGAATAGAGGATGCTACTCTTGTATTATCAGCTCTGACGAAACGGGATGAAGATAACGCATTGAGGCGAGTATGCACAACAGTTACCATCCCGTTTTAACCCAGATTTTGAGCCAATGGAATCATTTGCATGTTTACTCGGTTTTTAAAACATTTGTATGAAAGGAATTTTCTACCAAAAGTTAACAATAATAACAACATGTCGGCATCAACATACTTACATCAAAGTGCAGATTTCAGAGTGTCATATGAATCTTGCTCAGTGGTTGTTTTCGTCGAGGTGAAATCATTCAAGGCACTAGTAAAGATTCCCAGAAGGTTTATGATAGGACATTTCCAAATTTTGATGTATCAGTAACCAAAATGATGTCCGATGCAATTCTCTATTTTGACTTGTGCCATGTGTTCCCGTACAGGTGAACAATTGACTTGCCTTGGCAAGTGTTTGTAATGGATGCCAGTAGGGCGGAACACGCTCACCTCTACGCGAACACCAGGTGTTATCACTATTTTTATAGTGATTCAAAAACAAATTTCTTACGCTTATTAAAGGGTTTTGTTGCTTTTATTTACGACTTAATGAACTTTTTACAACTTTTTGTTTCAGAATTATTTTAATGTACTTCAGAGGTACGGGTGGCCAAGTCGTCGAAGGCACCAGAAATCTTTGTGCAGAGTTGCGTCCTCAAGCATGCCAGAAACGTATGTTGGAGATAATGTTTCAAAACTTGTCAGCATCATATCCGCACGTGCTCGTTTCATTGAAGTGGTAAACGTCTGAGACCTACACCACGCCGAGCCTGGCACGCCGTTAAATAACTACAAACGCTGTCCTCAGTGGCTACACTCTCACACCAATGCATGTTAAGAACAGGGTTGTCTGTGGGTTGTTTTCAAATCAAGGCCTGGAATTCTTTTTTTTAATAAAACGAATAATTATTAATAAGAATTCACAAT